GATCAGTCGTTTTAGATTTTTCAGTAAATCCTATGCACAGACAGAATCGTTTAGAAAAGTGTATCCATCCAAAAGACTAACATTTAAACATGTACGTATCCAAAAGACTAGAAGCTGAAAATTCACCAATATAATAGAATCGATAAATCACCATATCTGAATTCTCGAAATGTTCAATTTATAATCAATAAAAACCTATTGTCCTGTAGAGATACATTGTTCCAGCTAGAAAAACTCGAATGAGAACAGTGCGTGTTATGTGCTCAAAAGTGCATCTGTATTTGACCTAGCACACAGGTAACTTCTGGATGAGGGGTGGCTTCAGGTAAGATATATATATAGCCTTGACTTAGGCGTATGAGCATGCACTGTTCAGGAACTGTGAACTCCAGCAAACTTCTTCTCCTCCTCCTCCTCCTTCTTCTTTTCCTTTTTTGTCTTTCTCCTCCCACGGTCGATAGGCACATTGTGTTCTGGTTTACAGCTAGACTGCGATATCTGCGTTTTTCGGCCTAAAACATCAAATTTCATCAAAACCTTAATTCCGACATGCTCAACTCAGTCAAGGTCACAAAAGTTACACGAGGAGTGGAACAAACAACTGCATGAATTATGCGCATAGAGAGATGGTTGTGGTGAGGGTACCTGATTATTATTATTATTATTATTATTATTATTATTATTATTATTATTATATTATTATTATTATTATTATTATTATTTATTCCTTCTAGCCCCAAGTGAAGCATAGACCCTGAACCAGCACATGCCAAGTCGTTCCATCCTTCGCCACCGCATACAGCTCACCCGAATTACTTCCTATCCTTTTCACTTTTTTCTCCAGCTCCCGTCTACGTGTTTTTTTTTTTTTTTTAAATCTTCCTTTATTTCTAAGCCAATATGGGCTCCAGTGCAAAGACATTCTTGTACAAATTTTTCTACGTGCGTCCTACCCAACGCCAGCGTCTTTACTGTAACTCTCGCGAGACAAAAAAAAAAAAAAAAACAATAGACTGATTCGTAATTCTAGTGCTTGTGTGAGATGGCGAAACATGACAGACTTAGCTTACCGACATGGCACATAATAATGATGATGACGATGCCGATTTGAAGTTTGGATCCTCGGTAGCTAAACTCTTTCAGTATCAGAAGGTTTGGAAGGAGGGATTGGAAACACCCGTTAGCTCCATGGGTGCATCAATTTCACGGTCTAGCTTTTGCAGTGAAAGTGACCAGAAGTTTTAGTCTGCTCTAACCAAATGTAAAAACACACAGCGGTTAGGGTTCGTTTGGCCATGTGATAAAGGGCCCTCACAAACCACAGGTTACTTGGGACTTTGAGGGTTAATGATTAGACACTCGCTCTCCGGTCCGAAAGTCTTAGGTTTGAAAGAACATCTAGACCTATTTTAATTTAATTTTCAAAATTGACCTTGGCTTCTAGGTCGACAGAGCTTAAAACTGGTACGAGGTATTTGCTGGGAAGTAAGGGTTGATCCTCACAGCTGACGGAAAAGGCTATAACATTGCCCACATTTACTTGTTCGCGATTTACGAAACACTGACCAAATACGATTGTAGTTCAAAATGTATCGAGCGAAAAGGCTACTGAATGATGAAAGCAATGAAAAGTGTCGCTACGGCAAATGTTTTTTGTTTTGTCAGCCAATTGGAGATTAATTTTTGAATGGCCATAGTACGTAAAATAACTTTCCAGCGAAGTGTGTCAGAATGTCCACTAACGCTTGGAAAAACAAAGGCTGTTTGGGGAGTGCCTTCACTGGCCTGCATATACACAGAAAATAAGGACCGGAGTGTCCACATAAAAAAAATTAAAAAAACATAGGGGCCTTTCAACAACTATCTCTGTCTCAAAGAGCCTGAGCCTAAGCAAATAAATATACTGGTATACTTGAAATAATATGAAATCTGTCAGACATACTTTGTAAAGGGAACTTCTATCCGTTTTTGTTTTAATTAAAACAAATCGGGGAGGAAGCCTGAATCATAGAGGCAACTCGACTGATAACCTGAGCGTATGAAACCGATCGCAGAGAAGAAGAAATCAAAACAACACGTACTCTGCTGTTACTGCTCTGCATCTCTTTAATATTATTATTGTTGTCTTCCCAAATCTCTCCTCGTGAAATAATTATTTTTCAAACATTCTTCTTCATCTTAGAATTCTTCGAGGGATTTAACCCTCCCCTTCTTAAATTTTCACAGGTGGGGGAGGAAGTTGCGTACGTCCCTATATTCCTGGGCTTTTTCCATTGTCTGTCAATCAAGCTGCATATAAAAGAAAAAGAAAGAGCTCACTTTTATAATTCTACTACACACAAGCGATAATGTCAGTTATGGTAGCTTCAATACTGTGTGAAGATTCTTATAATTCTACTACACACAAACAATAATGCCAATTATGGTAGCTTCAATACTGTGTGAAGAGGTCTGAGGTTTGAACAACGGAGCTCCTTTCTTCTTCTAACTCAAGTCTGAGTCCGAAGAAGCTCAGCACAGTGCACAGGCACCGGCGAGGATCCTGAAATACTTTGGGTAGATTTTTAACTCCATTTTTTTTTTTTACGGGTAGCGTCGTTAGAATACTCTGTTCGATTTCCAACTGCCAAGGGATTTTTTACGTGCACAGCAATATACACGGGCGTCCGATCTCACTACCCAGTGACCCAAGGGAATTACTAGAAATCCAAGTCCACGTGAAAAAATCCCAGTCCTTACGGGGATTGAACCCGGAACCCCCAGCACACGAGGCCGAACCATGCAGCCCCCAGCGTGGAGATACTCATACGAAAGTTAACCAAAGAACAGTTTGTAACGACCACGACAAACCACAAGGTAGTTTCCATTCGGTGGAAAAGATATACAAGGAAGCTAACTAGAAACATTCCTAGATAAGAGTAGCCAATGTTTGCATTTGTTCTGAAAGCAGATTACTGAAATTGTAAGTTTTGTTTTGTTTCTGGTATCAAGTTGTAAACAGATGGTTCATTAAAGTGTTCAAACTTGAACAGATGTCCGTAGTATTTCTCTCTCCAGTCCCACAACTAGAGAACTGGAATGTTTAATCGTTTAAGTATAAACATAAACTATTGAATTCAACAATGCCGCTATCTTCCTTTTCCCTGCAAGATCTTTGATCCTATATACATTTCAAAAGTCGCACTAATCTCGGAAAAATCAGTTTGGCTGGTGTTCTCAGATATTACCAAGATTAGTGGCCAGGTTTCGAGTGTCTCGGATTAACGTTTATAATCTTAGACAGGGTTAATCTTGTGTTTGTCAGATGGTTGTCACTGTTAGTGTATACATTAAGCTGTGTGATACCTTGCAGGGGGTGAACAAATAATTTGTTCAGTGTGAGTTTTAAAAAAAAATTTTTATTCACTTTGCTGGCATAAAAACTTTATAGACTGAAAGTGACACTGTATTACAAAATGTCTTTAAGCAACGTAATCAGGTGTTGTTTTGAAGTCTAAATCTGGAGGCGAGGAACAAATAGCAAACATCCAAAAGACACAATCAACAGGCTAAATTGGTGCCAGGGCAACTTCATTTTTTTTTACTAAGAACAGGACACCGCAGACTTCACGCACATATGCACAGAAAGAAGTCTTTATCATCCATCCCCCCCCCCCCCCCAGTACACACCAAACTGCACTCCAAACAACAGAACACGTACTACAGAATATCTCCCTACAGCATAACATGCGGGAAAATATCTGACCACAGGGAAGAGGCATCCAGGAGAAACTTTGGGGAGCTCTTGGAGACTAGCTGATGAGTTGCCGGTTCATCCTAATTTCTAATTATTATTGTTTTTTTTTTTTTTTTATTATTGTCATTAATAATTTCAGTCATTCTCATACTCCATCATCGTACACTGTTACCAGCTTAATTTATTGAGCTAATTATAATTTTTAGTTTCCTTCTTGCTGAAATTGTTTTTATACTTTAATAGAGTCGAAGATTTCATACATTGCTTTTGTTGGTAAATTAAAGATAGTTGTTCCAGTTATAATTTCTCTCTCTCCGTGTATTCATACGATAATACCTACAAAGTCGTGAAATCATTTTGCGGCTGAAATACAGCGAGATTGACAAATCGCAGTCCAACTGTAGCCTATATCAAAGTGCAAGATTCTATGTTAGTTACCCATAACAGAGAAAACAATGCCGGATCTTATAACTAATAAGTTGCAGAGATATGTGTGGTCATAAACGATCTTTCTTAGCCAAAGTTTAACCCCCAGAGGTTTCGTTAACATATCAGATTACCCAACTCGACACGATCAAGATCTGATACTTTCAGTGCTCCCAGAAGTATTTGAAATTTCCTATAACATCCGCATGTGTAACAAGCTTGGACACATCAGGCATTCCTTGTTTCCTGTTGAATACCCACACTTCACTTTTAACTACATATCAACTACTTGAATATACATTCAGTGGAAAACAAGACAGTGTTACATTTGATGGGGCCTTAATTCCAGAGAATTGTTAATATGCAGCTTTGATATTTTAGATGAAAGCACTTTGAAGTGTGTTGTAGCGAGACCGTCGGTAGTACTATCGATGGTGTTGGTTGTAGCTTGTGGTAGATAGGACTGACTGTCAGCTTGTAAAGTAAATACAGGAAAGGACCTTTTTTGCACGCCTTTGAGCGCATTAGGCACATAAGGCTAGATCAATATTTTATAGACCAATCGGCACTCGGTGAGTGATGTGGTCAATATTACCCCACCGCCTTTACTTCCCAGGACTTTACCAGGTACCCACACAAGGCTGGTTCAAGCTAGCCGTCAAGATCATTAAAAAAAAAAAAACTTCTGTCTTAGTGAGGACCCGAACCCAACGACCTTCCGATCCACAGGCGAGCGTTGAGAAGCCACACTACGGCAAAACCCAGTTTGTACAGAAGCTTGTCTCAGAACAGTTTCGCCCCTCCCCCCCCCCCCCCCCCCCCCTTTTCCCCCTCGTCG